TACCGAAGAATCGAGAAATACAAAAGAGCAACAAAAAAATTCATACGATGATGAGTTGAAACCTTCTAATAACAGAGAGGAGTCTCCGCCATATAAAGATTCTAGGATATCAAATATTTCAAAAGTATCTTTCAAACAGAGTGATGAAATTGATGATGATATTCCAAGACAACAGTTCCAATCGCGAAAAACTCAGGCTGTTGATAACACTGATGCATCAACGCAACAGACACCCAATACGAATTCAATAAACAGATCGACAAGTGTGGAAAATGATGAAACGGAAAAAAGTACCATATGTATTTCACCTACGAAAAGGAACACGATCATTTTAAATGCTGCGTACGATAATCCTAAACCCATCGACTTTGCTAATAAATCTACTGAAATAAGCAATGACCAATTATCAATGCAATCTGCAATTCCAGATAATAGTGCGACTGATTTATCATCGGAAGTGAGCAGTACTTCAACAGTTTCGTACAAGAAACCTAAAAGAAAAAAGTCGAAATGCCATAACAAGTCTAAAAAGAAGAAACGATCAAACTATTGCATGCGAAAAAGGAAATCCAAGCAACTTGTTAACGATGTTCAAATTCAGAATTCCAGAACCTCGTCAATATGTGACCCTAATGGGAGATGTACTCAAACGGAGAAAGTAAATAATAGTAGCGAAATGACGACTGCAAATACGAAATCTATTCAAATAGATGGTAATATACAACTAATGAATGGATCTAAACGTTCTGAGGAAATTGGACAATGCTTCTATCCTTCGACTGATAATCTAAACAATAATTTAGACAATGTTAATCAAACAAATAACATAGGAAAAACAGAAAATGATGTGTTTTACAAAGATTTCGGTACAGATACGAAATGTGAAGAATCAATTGCCCAGCCTTCGGAACCTTACCGACTTGTACCGACGAGTGTTGCCCCAACTAACGCTGATAAGTGCATCGAGATGATGGTATCAAAGCAAGATGAATCTTACAATACAAACGTCTACAGGGCACCGCAAATTATACCAGAAAGGGCTTCGATGATACCAGGTAAAGATAAACAATCTTCATGTCAAACGTGTTGTGATTGTATAAATAAAGCAGGTAACGCGGAGACACCAACGTTCAACGGACAGACAGATATGCCGCATAAGAAATCTAGAATTTCTGAACGGATAACATCTTTATTTAACAAATCGAGATCTTCAATTGCAGATGCAGATAAATATGCATGCGAAAATAATCCAAGTAGGTTGTCAATTATAGGGAATAAAATAAGAGATACTGTTATGCCACGGAAATCACGAAAGCCTCGACAATCGGATACTGATTACGGCGTCAATCAAGAAGACTTTATGGGACAACCTAATTTTGGTAAAACATCAACGTCTGCTCCAATTGTACCAAGATATTCTTTGGTGCCCAACAATCAAATGCCACAAGACTCAATATATCCGAGGATATCTTTAGTGCCTCAAGCACCAAATGCTCCACAATCAAATCGGTATTCAACAGATGTTCCAAGATACTCGATAATTCCGCAAGCAAATGCGAATTTATTTAATGCAGCGCCACCAAAACGACAAAATCCTCGTTCCCCTGTATATGAAGATGAAGATTATATAGTTCCACAAGCAAATGCTGTTTCATACAATGCACCGCCACCAAAACGTCAAGTTCCTCGTTCTTCTGTATATAAAGATGAAGATTATATAGTTCCACAATCAAATGCTGTTTCATACAATGCACCGCCGAATCAGGATAATAGATACTTAGTGCATGAAGATTCTAGATTTTCTGTAAATCAATATCCATCGGACACCATAATTCAAGATCCAAGTACAATAATCCGTGATCCTGTAATCACGTTCGACGAAGATCCAAGAATATCATTATCGCAAAGGTATGGCGATAGTGAAGATCCAAGGATGTCTTTGCCACAAGATCCAAGGATGTCTTTGCCTCACAAGATCCAAGGATGTCTTTGCCACAAGATCCAAGGATGTCTTTGTCACAAGATCCAAGGATGTCTTTGCCACAAGATCCAAGGATGTCTTTGTCACAAGATCCAAGGATGTCTTTGCCACAAGATCCAAGGATGTCTTTGTCACAAGATCCAAGGATGTCTTTGTCACAAGATCCAAGGATGTCTTTGTCACAAGATCCAAGGATGTCTGTCGCAAGATCCAAGAATGTCTTTATCACAGGATCCAAGAATGTCTTTGTCTCAAGATCCACGTATTTCTTTGTCACAAGATCCAAGAATATCTTTATCACAGGATCCAAGAATGTCTTTATCACAGGATCCAAGAATGTCTTTGTCACAAAATCCACGTATGTCTTTGTCACAAGATCCACGAATATCTTTGTCTCAAGATCCAAGACTGTCGTTGAAACAAGATGCAACATTTCCAGATGATCAAGATCCGAGAATGTCCATAGATAAAAATCCACCGATATCTTTTGGTCAAGATACAATTATTAGTACAGATCCAAGAATGTCAGTAGACTATGATCCAAGATTGACTATAAGATCAGATTCAAGAATGTTAGAAGATCAGGGCGAATATCCAGAAACAATAGATCCAAGGATATCGAGACAACAACAAATTCAAGATCCTAGATTATCTCTAGGTCAAGATACATTAATAAGCGATCCATTACCTCTAACTCAAGATCCAAGAATATCTTTAGATCCAAGAATGTCTTTAGATCCAAGAATGTCTTTAGGTCCAAGAATGTCTTTAGATCAAAGAATGTCTTTAGATCCAAGAATGTCATCATTAAGTCAAAGTACTAGAATTTTAGATCCAACAGATCGAAACGACCCTAGAAATTGTAAGGACCGATGTAAAACACCCAGTGGAGAATGTTCTTCTAATTTGAAAAATGAAAGAAATCGAGGTGCAAAATGTAAAAAATCAAAATGTACTAAACAAAAAAAATCACGAGAAAACATAAAAGACAAACACAAATTATGTGTAAGAAAGAAGTCTTCACTAAAACGAAGTCCATCAAAAGGATCTTATTGTTCGAAAAGACGGAAATCAAGGAGTCGTTCAAATATGAATAGACGCAGCAGAAGTAATTCAGAAATTGATAGCAATAATGATACGGATAAATCTTCCACTTCTATGACAGAGAATTCGATGTCATCTAATACAATATTGAAGAGATCTAGAAAATCCAGAAAATCGCTTTCACGAAAATCATCGTCTAATGGATATTGTAAAAAACGGTCAAAGAATCGTAAGAGATCGCGGGATTCAGGATCAGGTAAATCGATTTCAAAAGGGTCATCGGTTTCCATTGCGAAAGACTCCCTGCCAAAGAAAAAGTCAAAAAAATCAAAATGTTGCAAAAAATCGTTGTCGCGTCGAGGATCGGTGATATCCAAAGATGAATCGATATCGTCCAAGGACTTGGCCAATTTAAAAGGATCGATCTATTCGAAATATTTAGATGAACCTGATATAGACAGAAAGTGCACATCAAATGTGTATACCGTGGACAATGCTAAAAACTTGGATAATCTTTCAATGAGGAAAACGACGATATTCAAAGCTGAAAGCGCAGGACTGAATTCTGCATTTAGCAATAACGATTATATTGAAGATGATGAAAAGATTGATAATTCTACACAGTCATCGGATGTGAACAAATGTCTCATAGATCCGAGCAGTAAGTAATACCGAACTCAGCGAATAAAGAGCGGATTAATATTTATTTTCGATTTTCAGAATGCTCGCAGCATACCAAGAAAACTCCATGCCAGATTCGTTATGCACAAACTGTAATATCAAAATTCAAGGATTTTACAATTTATGAAGTCATGAAATCGTCGGATAAGAAACCAACAAAATCGACTGATGTCACTGAAGGCGTTTTCGTTGTGAAGAAAGCCGGTTAGTATTTGTGTTAGTGTCTATTTTGAAGGAACCCAATAAAATAATTAATTTGAATTTAATTTCTAATTATTAAGAAGTACAAAGTAATAACAAATGTTATTTATTTTCATACTGAGTTTGTATATATATTCGCATACTATAATTATTTTATCCATTTTTATTGTTGTTCAAAATCAAACGTTGCCTATTTATTTGTTAACTTGCAAATGTAAGCAAATGTTTTATTTTTGTCGAATTTAGTATTTAGGCTACGTTTTCAAACAATAATTGGGACAAACTAATAATTGCGTATACAGCAGAATTATCGACGTACGCAATTTTATTATCAATGCCAGTCGATTGATAAATTCCCATGTTATATAGTTATATAGTAATATAGACGTATGATTCGTCTGCGTGAGTATATATATATATAGACACAACAAGAACATGAAAGTGTCTGTATCAATTAATGGTTGGAGCCGGGGTCTAAATGAGCTGAAATGGATTTTAATTGCCACCTGACTATTAAGGCCTACACAAATTCGATTCGCATTAGAGGAACGCCGAGTTCTGGTTGTGCTTGTTTTTCCTTCCGAAGTTGGCGCAAAGAGTTAAAGACCTTCGTTATCCGAGAACAACAAGCACAAAAAGTATGGACTCTGTGGGAAGCGGATGAAATGCGCTTCGGACTTTGCGCAAAACTAATTTCAAATGTTCATTGAGCAGAGCAGCTAGGCAAATCGCCGGATTATCGCTTGGGTGTCCAGTTTTTTTTTGGGCGACTTGCAAATTGCGAGGTGGACGATTTGCGAAAACCTTGAGTCCAGTGAACGAAAACTGGATTGGATCTGTAAAAACCTACTCGTTACTCTTTGTTTGTTTTTTTTCGTTGTTCTGTTTTCTTCTCCATAGCTTCTTTCTCTTGCATATTCATATGTAGTTATAAAGTGTTCCGATTTTGTTGTTACCTGTGTGTGTGTATGTGTGTGGGTGATGCGGGGGAGTGCGGTGCGGTGCGACGGGTGCCGCCGAAGTGCGCACCACTTGGCCTGCCCTGGCTTGATGCCATGGCTGGCCGCCGTCGCGCCGATTGCGCCTCCTCCAGTTCTCACTGATGGATTTAACAGTTCACGTGCATACCTCGTATGGTCTACCACGTGCTGGTACGCGCTTTTCCTGACTTTTCCGAGCACACTCATTACAGAGACGAACACGCGCGCTTCCAGCCACTTTCGAACTGCAACACACCAGAGAGGCACAAGATTAAACGCACCGCGCTTTTCTATGTGATTTGATCTTCCTCCGCCCATACCTTCACACAACTTTTTCTTTTCAAACTTCATTCATACTACAACTATTCATGGTAAGTTATAAACTTTTTTATTCTCATTGTCTTAAAGATATTTAACTTATTGTATAATTGTTCGTAAAATACATTTAAAATTCTGACTTTTAATCAAGTTTAAACTATAAAATTGTTATTTGTTATTTTCATCAATATCTACACAAAATTTGTATTGGGAATTTACTTTTTAGAAATGATGAATTTTATAGTTATATTTTAATAAATTTTAGTAAATTATTATAAATTTAGAAATGCATTAATGTAAATTACAAAAATGTATTTAAGTAGATCTGAAAGACTGCTAAATTGTATGTATGTCACTTTATGCAAATCAAGTAATTGTAGATTATTAATTATTACAAAAAAAATCATTAAATTTTAAACCCGTACTTTTATTGTGCATTTCTCTTTCATATATTCTTTTTATTATAATTTAACGGGAGTGTTGTAAAAACAACTAACACTTTTATGTTGTCCTCGATAATGCTTACTTTGATTCGTTTATTAAATATATTGATGTAATAAAAAGCGAGAAATTCAATTCTAAAAATAACACATACCAGGCTTCCGCAAGTATTAAAATTTTCAAATTTATTTCTGTCTTCAATTGGCAGAAAGTGAAGAAATAAATCTAGCATTGCACGTTTTGGAGCGTTGGTCTCTTCTAGCAAAATTACCACGAAAATAAGAAATTATAAATTGACATAACATCAATGTTGACATGAATAAAAATACAATTTTATATAGAAAATTAAGAACAGTTACTAAATTAAATTAATTAAAATAATGTTCATAATTAATCGATAAACAACTAAGGAAAGTAAACAAACCGAAGATAATAGTGCTCTAATTATTCAGGAAAACAAGCGTTCGAAGCAATAAAAGTATTCGGTTGGATGGTAGTAAATAAGAGATAGAAAAAAGCGTTTACGATCGTTTTCGATTTACGACTTTTCTCCAATTCACCTAAGCACATATATATTACCGATTCCTTTTAATTCGATGTCAATACTTTTATTGGCGTGAAAACTCGTTTTATAATCCATAAATCTATATTTACACGCTACTATTGCGAAGCGAAAATAAAAAAGTTAACAGTCTAATTATAAATTAAATCAATAAGATAATTATAATTAACAAATCTTGTTGTTTTTGTTATCTTCTATAAACTTTCAGGCGACTCGGAATAAGAATTAATAAACATAACTTCCTATAACTTAGGCGACTTACAAATCGCTCTCAGAGCCGGCGTTAACGTTACAATTTGAATATTTAGTAGTTTACTTTGCTTGCATCAACATAATATGGGCACTATGTATGTACCTACGTGTTCGAGAGCCGGTGCACTGTGTTTGTCGTCGCCGCACTTCTTGCATCTTACCAAAAAAAAAAAAAAA